TCCCATATTAAACCCAGGAGTTATGTCAACTCCAAGACTAACGCTGAGCCCCTATCCTTAAACCCTGATGGGATTGTAGTAGTAGTGGTAGTAGCAGTAGTAGTAGTAAACTAAATCGGATCGATGAAAAATTCGTTGATTCCTTGCTTGTTTCCGTGTTTGTAATAATGTACTGTTTGTATATTTATAACGGAATTTAAATCTGTGTATCCTTTTTGTATCGAAAAAAAATAAAATCTTTCATGACGCCCTCAGCCTAATATCGGTGGTATTCAGCCCTTTTTCAGTTCTGTGCCTAATTATCACGAAACTACCTATCTTTCTTGAGGTGAATTTTTCTGACCCAATTATCACATAATAATTCTAGATATTCCTCCATTCCGTTATATTGTTGGCTAACCACAGAAGTGATTAAATGAAGTCCACCCTAAAATACAACTGTTTTAGCTATAATAATCACATCATTATTAATCCATTCAGGGAAAATAAAGTTGAACCAGTTCGAATACAGTGCGCCAAACATCGCATTCCAAGGAAATAACATCTAAAATGAGTGAAATTTCTGTTACCGTGTATACTCAGAACATTGACTTCTTTCCCATATTCAAACTGATTGTTCGCTGTACAACCTATTCATGATTTTCTATGGTGAAAAATGTGTATCATTAGCGTTTGTAGACATCTATTCGTTCGTTCGTTCGCTTTTGTTGTTACCAGTGTATGTTCAAAACGACTGATGCATTCGTCATGACCGTTGTTGGTCGGACCAGGTTCAACACGTGATGCTATAACGTGATTCATAAACCATACCTTTTTCAATTTAGGATGTCCGAGTATCAACTTAAAACATAATGTTGTTTTGTGGATAGTGCGGTAGTCCGATCACCCCATCGTTTCACATTGTCTTGCATTTTTTGTGATGATCGTGTTGCCATGTGCAGTCCATCCGTGTGGTGAAGGCACGCCTGTTGTATGGCTGAAGTTCACTGGGTCTGCTGAAGACTCGTGGTTGTAGACAAGGTGTGCTTTCTCGCTCGGATTAGGTGAGCAAGCGCCAGGTCCCTTGCTGCAGCTGAACCATCCGACCGATTGATAAATGAACCCGATAGGTCGTGTGATTTTCGGGCCAGCATACGGGAAAGGATAAGTTCTGAATCGAACGCTGCTTAAGTGTTGGTAGAGAATCACCACAGGAGCATTGGTTGTGGAACGATACTCCATGTGGGAGATTCCGAGTGAAAAGGTTCAAGCGATGATGACACTGGGCCAACGTTTGACTCGTCTAAGACACACGCATTCGTTTTTAAGCGGGTTCTCGCGCAAATTTCCCGGCAGGCGTGAAACAGGTGTTTGCTTGGAAGAAATTCACTTATGTTCAGCCAACCGAAGGTCATAGACGCCAGCCTACAGGAATTACAAGCAATTAACGATTCATAAACTAAAAGTGCACCTCACAAACTGTCCTTAGATCCGGGATACGATGACCCTTGACAATTGACTTGTCTAATTTTATCAGTGCTCTATACCTTTTGCAAGTCAAGTTGTCCCAGTATCATATCAAGATGTCCGGGAATCATTTCAAGTTGACTGATCATTATTTCAAGACGTCTGGCGATTATTTCAAGTTGTCACATTATCGTTTCAAGATGTCCCCGGATTATTTCAAGATGTCCAGGAATTATTTCAGCACCGGTGTGGTCAACGCAACAACTTGAAATAATCCCAGGACATCTTGATATGATACTGGGACAACTTGACTTGCAAAAGGTATAGAACGGGTGTCGTCCATTTATTCACACAGGCGCGTCCGCACGACGGGGGTTATCGATCGCTCGGATCTGACATCTCACTTCACTCACCGGCTTACCAGTCAATCGCGAATATCGTTCATCCGTTTGCACGTTGGTACGACAGAGCCCATCGATGGACCGAATGACCGTGGCTTTGGTGACCATTGTAGCAGCTTCAATTGATCCAATAATTTCTGCACATCTTTTGTTGAGATAACTTCCGGCGCATTCACTGCCTCACATTCATCTTCATCTTTGCGATGCTTAGCTTGATTCGAAACAAATCCATCTAATGACTAAAAGAGAGAGACTTGATACAAAAATTTTGAATAACCCACTTCTTCACTATCAAATTCCAACCAGGCGATTTCTTCTTCAAAAAGACGATCATCAATAGACACAATGAGTAAAGTCCTCGATCAAATCGCATCACCGGCTGAATCAATGTGGATTTGAACCCTGCTTTCATGAAAGCTTTGCTCAGTACGTGCGGATGCGCAGACGCCCAAGCTTTCTTGACCAGATACACGGCCATGAGAATGTCCACCTTGGCTTTTATGATAAGTTGCTCATCTTCGATCACAGACAAAACATATTCCAGTAAATGCTTCCGAAATGATCATTTGAAAGATCAAATCATGCTCTGATCCATTGGTTTTAACATTGAAGAACAGTTCGGAGATAGCCAGTTTGACGTTGAAGAATACTGCTGCTTGGTTATGACAAGATGTGTTGTCCATAAAAAGTAAAATGGATCACCTTTAAGAAACCATTTTGTGATTGACATCGGACAGCCAAATGTGAAATAACGCAGAAGTCATCCATGCGTTCTTTGAAGAATTATAACCCCGGAGGCATCGTGGTGTTTGAAACTTTCCAATCACTAACGGTGAAAACTTTTCTCTAGTCGTGCTCCCTCAAACCATTAAGGTGACCCTCTCCTTGAATTTCTTGGATCCAGAAACTGTCTTTCCTTTCACACTCAATGTTCTTTCTGGGAGCTGCCTGTAATACAAAGCTGTTTCATCTACTTTGAAAATATCACAGTCAGCGTATCCATGTATCAACTGCGGTAACCCCGCTCGAAACTCATCCACTACATTACATGATACCGCTAAACTTTTTCCGCAAACCTATAAAGTAATGCACATGAGTTGCTTGTTTCCTAATTTGTAGGATTGAATACCATACTTATCTGACCAAGAGCGAAACCAACCTTTGGAAGCGTGAAATGACAAAATGATTCAATCTTTGTGTTAGCTGGAGTGTCTTCTTGCACACGACGCTCGCCACCATGTGGAACTCTCGATGGTTTTCCCTCATAGCAGTAAACCACGCCAAGGTTGCCTCATTTACTGTCTTGAAATTTTCGTCGGTTTCCACGTAGCATCTTCCCTCAGATGCTCCAGTGTTCACAAATTCTCCGATAGTCGTTCGATAGGATATAACGTTTTAAACAGTTTTCCTTGATATTCCAAGTGATTTGGCTACGGAGCTCTAATTTGCACCTGGTGGATTCAACATTTCCAACGCATTCTGCTTCTCTCTGATCGATAGGCGCTTGCACATTTTGACATCAAATGACACTGTCTCCGATCCCTTGCTTCAGTATGTCTTCCTCACAGGTATTATCCAATCAGTGAACTGTGCCACGAACGCGTCGCACTAGGTGAAACGCCATTGCCTGAGTGCGACATTCCAAAGTGGATGGTCAGGGGTTGCCCCGAACTTCGGTCAACCATCGAGTAG